ACCGGACAACCACTTGACCGATTTTGCTCATCTTCGACCTTCCCTCATACTTCGCCCCATACTATATGTCTACCAACTTTCAAGTCGATCGGGTTAGTCTAAAGAGTTATCGCGAAGGCGGGAGACAGACGGACAGACATACAGACATGACGGTTACATAAGCCCTGGCTCGGGCTAAATATAAAATACAATAAAATAAAATGTTTCCAAGGACAAATAATATTGCATTTTTGGGTGTCAAAACGGCATATTTTGCTGAAATCCACCCCCTCCGGATGTGAATTTCGCATCGATGCCAGCATGGAGGATTTGTGAAATTGACATAAAATTGAAGGTGAAAACCTGCACGATTTTTTAAAACTAATTTCACAAATCCTCCATTCTGGCAACTTGCTCAAAATTGAGGCCGAAAAAGCACCTTTATCCCTTAACATTTTTTGGATAAATCAATGAGATCAGTGAGGAGCATAAATCTGTACTGATATTCTATTACAAAATAGCTTGTTTTCGCTAACGTATTGCGAAATATTTCGCTTAAACCTAAATTTGCACCACATGTTCCATTTGAAGGTTTTAGTTTCATGAAATTATCCGTCGAATGGCACTAATATGGATCAAAGATGGTTCATCAAAGATCTAGATGGGACATCAAAGGTGGTTCACTTGTTAGATATGTTTATATTGATTGTGTATACTGGTCGCAAGTTGTAAATCAAAATGTTAAGAAGGTTGACTTTCCATAATGAACACAAACGTTTTCTTGGTACAAATATCCATCCCCAAATCATAATGATTTAATCATTCACTCTATTTTCTAGATAATGGTCCTAATTTTTTATACAAATATTCGCATAAATATGTTGCACAATCGTCTTAAATATGTTTGTATAACCACACATGTATAAATATATCTAATTCACCTGACATAAAGTAGCTTCCATATGCATTGTCACTCTTGCATTATACTTAGTTGGAATTTTACTTCATCCATTTGTTTGCATGATTTTGCACATAATTTAAAATAACTTTGTGGGTTAAATTGAACTCCTTGAGACAGTGATAGTAAACAATTTGAAAATAAGCACGCTCAGAATTGCAAAAGTTTTTAGCAGATTATAAATAAGAACCTCGCAAACTTGGTGAATTTGATGCTACCCAACGGCCCAAAATATGAGTTCTCGACTATGAATGAATGGTCCCATTATGAACGGCCCCATGGATTTGTTGTACCAACAAAGTGGGTGTGTTATACCACACCCTGTAAGGACGGTACAGTCAGTGATGCAAATTTCACATCACAGTGTGATTTAATGTGATTTCTGTGATTTAATGTGATTTGTGTGATTTGTGTGATTTCTGTGTTTTCTCAAAGTAAGGAGTATCTAAAACGTGAGCATATTTTGTTTTTGAGTTCGCTAGTTGATGAATCTCTCAGTCATGTAGATAAGTGTTAATTTTTTAACATTCAAAAGTGTTGAAGAGCATTTTCGGCGGCACCAAAGTCCGAATAAAAGTACAAATAAACTTTCTACCGTTTAACATGGCGTCATTCGGTTTCAAACTAAACCTCGTTACAGAGTCGCAAGAAGCTAAAGTTGAAAGAATTCTTGGTAATTGTGAAAATTATGATGCCGGGGCAATCCCAGAGCAATCCCGGGGCGATTTATCATCATGAAATCACAATTACACTAAATCACAGAAATCACAGCAAAATGGCTTCTGTGATTTCTCGGAAAATCACATTAAATCACACAAAAATCACAGGTTGTGATTATCACAGTCGCACCCCTGGGTACAGTATTAAATAATTTAGAAAATGTAATTCTAAAAAAACCGCAAGCGAAGGTTCATAAAATACGACAACATGTAGCCCGTTATGGGCTTCAATTTCGGACACTCTGGCACGATATTTTTTTGCTTGAAAAGATATTTTCAGCACTGAGAGAGAAAGTAATCCTGAGGAGGAGAACGTACGACCTTTGCAACTCCAGAATTTGAATCAATGTAATAGAGTGGAGTTAAGTTGTAAATATATGAATAAATTTCATCTACATTTACCCTGATTAGTTAAGGAATTGTGGGACCAAAGTAAGTGCCTTCGCCTGCTGCCTGATGAATACCTGATAAGTAGCGATGTTATTGATTTCCGGTGTTAATCTTGGACATAAATTGTTGCCGAGAGTAAATAAATTGTTTCCGAATGGAAATGAATGAATCTATGCGATGATATTACACAATAGAATGGAAATATTGGTTGAGTGCCATCGCACCGTGTTATTGTGTTACCACTCGACCTGAGTTTATTTGGAGTTTAGACCATAGACCTGAATATCAGACTCCCCCATTCCTACCCTTTTCCATGGCCTGATATCTCCTCACATTAGGAAAAATTGCCAAAACTCTGTCCCAAAAGTGGGACGATTTCCTCCATTCGAAGCACCGACATGAGGTCGCATACTTCTCACAGTGACACTCCATTACCCCCACCAATCTGAACCTATCCCCGGACGGGAATGGGACATCCAACTGCTTAACCGTCCCACTCGTCGAATTACTTTCGTTGAGGAACGAATCGTACAAAAATGATACACTCGCCTCAAAATATTCCTCCTCCGTCAACCTAACATTGCACGCATATCTAGAACTAAACATTCTGCATTTTTCGTCCCTCGAAATCCGGATGGACTTGATAATCGGGAACTGCACGTTATAGTTCAACCTAATTACATCAGTACTCCCTTCAAATTTCAGCTTTATATTTGGCACCACAAGCGCATTGTTCTCCAATCGATTATCCTTGTCCTGAGCTTGCAAAAACTCGACGACCCTTAATTTTGCCATGACGGGAAAAACTATGGTAGGATTGTCCTCTCCAAAAAATGATTTAATGAATATAGGACGGAAATTTTTCACCTCGGAAAGGGTGAAATGCTCCAAGCTTATCGCCACAGTTTTCAAAACAGAGGGCAAATTTGTCATTGTAAGAAAACAGTGACCAAGTTCTAACTTTCGGACGTTTATTGGATGTCGCATAGGCAAATTTAAGCTGAGGTTGATCAATTTCAAAGATACGATATTTTTGGAGAAATTGGTGAGAAAACTATCGACCACGGAGAGGCCAATTCCGAGGAACGAAATATTGGTAAGATTGGGAAATAGAGGTGCCAATTGGGATATCAGTGATGATATTGTTGCCTCTCCTTTTTCCGATTCTTCCCGCCAGTGGCACGAGCCGATTTCGAGCTCCTTTACTTTCGAGAAGGAATTCAGATTTGGAGGCAATTTCAAATGTTTTGTACCCGCTTTTTCCAACGACAAGAGGGACACGTATAATCGGAGGGAAGTCAGATTGGGGAAGGAATTTGATATGGATTCCAAGAATCTGGGCCACTCGGATACTGGTAGGAGGAAAACTGTCTCAAGGGAGTTTACTTTGTAACCATTTTTTGAAATAAAACCTCCACAAGGGCCGAGGCGGGAAAGATTTTAAAATTCTGAGAGATTTATTTTTCTCGGGCAGTTACCTCTGGCGAGGATAGTTTTCTCATGGTGAATGAGATTTTCTTGCCAAAGATAAAGCCGGTGTAGAACGAAGACGTTTTCGTACTTCAGTTTCCCACACAGTGTCGTACATTCGATGAGGTCAGAGTTTGGGAGAAAGGTCACAATTACTTCCAAAATCTACGTACATTCAAATAAATACTTACAAAGTGTTCTACAGTAAAACATATATCATTTTGTCGGGGGTTATGCAATAAATAAATAGTTGCAGGATGTCGCCTGAAAATTTGTCACTGTTTTTTTATCCTAACAACTAGCTGGTTATGTGGTGCCCGTGGGACCCCGTGTTTTGCGTAATTTAGAGCATTTTTACGTATGAAATTATTCTCATATTTTGTGTCTTATGTCGCACCACTATTTTAGTTCGCGGAGTGGTGAGTTGGCAGTAAAAGGCATGCCATTGCCCGAGTAACCTTGATTTTGTGAAGGGTAAATTTAGTGTGTTTTAGTGTGCTTTAGAGAGTAGAAGAGCGAAGACTGACTACTGAGAAAAGGTCCCGTAGTGGACATTGATGTAATAATTAGTGTGTTAATTGGTGTCAATAAATCGGCGTTGCTTATTAGAAATCGTCGTTTGTTGTGCACATATTACTTGCATCAATTCTCGGAGTAAAGTAGCAGTCTACCCTTTCACACATCACTACGACGAGCACAACCCACCACAAACCAGAATAAGCTCACCACTGGTAGTGGGAGTGGTTATTCACAAAGATTCCAAATCTTTTGGCGCCCCCGGGTGGGCTTGTGTGTTAGTTTAAGTGGTAGTGTGGAGGAGCCGTTCATCCCATTGTGGCCCCTGTGCAGACGGTGGGAGGAGAAGAACGTCGCTCTGAAGCGGACCAGGAAGGAAAGAAAAAAGAGTATTTGTGGTTTACTGTCGCCCTTGAGGACAGTCACTCCAGGTCCGTATCGTTCCAGGTTTAGAGTTGTCATAACTAATTGCTTTGTTCTGTTGGGTCTGTTGGTCTCGAGATTTAAAGAGGAGAGAGAGCAGCCGGGTCGTCCACTCACGAGTATAAAAGGGGGAGGAGGACTCAGCAGCCACTCGGACTACAAGACCGCGACAATTTGGTGTATTAAGCCGGTGTCGGGCTACCGAAATCGACACGCCGAGTACATCGTGGTTTACTCCCACCGGACGGGAGTATTGCCAGGTCATACCGTTTCAATTTTGTTCGTGTGAGAATAATTCCTAAATATGTGGGGTTATTTTGGTCAGGATGCAGCGAGGGGAGGTGGCGGAACCAGGGCTTTTAATCAAGAGGAGCTGGAGGAGATCATTCTTCCTCCGCCACGAGAAGGGTCAAGGTCACCACCACCACAGAGAGCACCAAAAACCCCTCAAGCTCAACCAGGTCATCAAATTCAACAAGTGCAACAAACCCCATTCAATCAACTCAAAATGAGGAGAAGTGTCAATGGAATTATTGAATGAAGATATGGAAATCGCACGTGAAGAATTGGAGAAGCAGCAGCCGGACCAGGCAATTCTCACTCGTAAGCTACAAACTATTCAGCAGTTAACAGAAGAGGCAGAGCACTACGCAGGTCAAGTTCTCGACCACTACGTACTGAATAATATGGAAGACAAGTTTCGACAGAGTAGAAAGAAGTGGCGAGAAATAAATGAAAATTCAGTGGAGATGATCTTGCGAATCAAGACGGCGATCTCAATTCCTAGTCGACCAGGATCGCCAACCGGAAGTGCTAATAGTTTAACTTCGAGTGGAGGTGAAAGAAAAATAAAGTTGCCCAAATGTAATTTACAAAAGTTCGACGGGAAGATGAGAAGTTGGCTGGGATGGTGGGCACATTATGAACAGATTCATAACGACCAGTCATTATCAGTTCCCGACAAATTCCGCTCCCTGGTTCAGTCCATGGAAAGTGGAACGGAAGCAGCAGAAATCGTAGCAAGTTTCCCGAAACTTCCCGAAAATTATCCGAAAGCGGTCAACATGCTAACACAAAAATATGGAAAGAAGGACATGCTGGTGGCCATGTACATGACGGATTTGGCAGAGCTGCTGTTCAATCAGGACAAGAGGTCGATTTCAAAATTCTTTATGGCGCTCCAAACTCAATTACAGAATTTGGAGTCAATCGGAGTCAAGTCGGAGGAGGCGTCGCAATATCTTCTCCCCATGATCGTGAAAAGTTTGCCAAAGGAGACACTCACAACGTGGTTCCGTTCTCCTCTCTCAAAATTGGATGGGTCAATTCTCGTTCCACCAAAATCAAAACTAGAATGTTTGCTCGAGTTTTTGAGTGACGAAGTAGAAAGTGAATGGAAGATTGAGATGGCAAGTGGGGAAAAGGAGAAAAAGAAAAGCGGGCAACGTCATTCTCCAAAGAAAGCAAGTCAAAAGGATGAAATCGCGACAGCAGCTGGACTCATCTCCGCAAATCAGGCGTCAAGTTCGTGTATTTTTTGTGGTAAAGGTCATCTCAGCAATTTGTGTTATGCGGCTCAGAAGATGAACTATAAGGAGAAAGAAAGTCGGATTCGGGAGAAGAAAGTTTGTTTTTCATGCTTCAAATTTGGACATCGAGCTGCAGCGTGTAAAGCCAAAATTCAGTGCGGAATTTGTAACAAGCATCATTATAGTCTCATGTGCTACCATCATCCTTCTAATAAGAATATGGAAGTGAATAGTGCAATGAAGGATGAGGGCCATGAACAATTTGGAGGACTGCAAAGCGGGTCGTCGAGCGCCATGGCGAGTCAAGAATGTTCGGGCACCGTACTCTCGCGACCTTTGCTAGTTCGACTCTACGACAACCGTGGCGGATACAGAGTAGCAAGATTGCTCTTCGACGGAGGAGCTCATCGCACGGTCGTCCGGAAAGATACAGTGAAAAGGTTGGGGTTGGGATCAATTGGGGCATTCAAACAGTCAAAGATGGTCTACAGAGGAGGAGTTACAAAGGAATTGCTCCACCACAACTACCAACTCAAAATTGGAGATTTGAGTGGACGCCACATCCGTACCCTCGTCGCACATGATGAAGAGGAAATTGTGGGATTTATTCCGCGCATACCGCGAGGGGAATGGATGCAACAACTCGCACAGAAGCAGATTTCAATCCCGGATTTCCACTCCAGCAATCCAGAAATAGAAGTTTTGGTCGGAAATGATTATGAAGGAATGATGATGACCGGCCGCATTGAATCTCTTGAGTGTGGAGTCACCGCCATTCAGTATGTCTGGGGGTGGGCGTTATCCGGGAGAAGACCAGTGGGGGTAAATACAGCAGCAGTGTCACTCTCCCTTGTCTCATGTCAAGCGTCCATCACGTCACTTTGGAGTCTCGAGAGTTTAGGGATCACAGATCCAGCCGAAGTGAAGAGCAAAACGGAAAGAGAAGAGGACACTTTGAGAAAATTCGGAGAAAGTGTGACACAAAAGGCGGACGGTCGTTTCTCAGTTCGTCTTCCGTGGATAGTGGAGAACCCTCAAATTCCGGACAACCGATTTATAGCAGAGAAGAGGCTGTTGTCCGGAACGAAGAAATTATTAGAAAAGAACAAGATCAGAGAATACGGAGCACTGTTCAAGCAATGGGTGGAGGAAGGATTTATCGAGGAGGTCAGCACTCAAGACGACGTAGGCAAGAAAATAGGAGTGCATTATCTTCCCCACCATCCAGTTTTCAAACCGCAGAGCTTGACCACCCCCGTACGCCCAGTTTTCGACGCCTCATGCAAAACTGGACGAAACCCATCACTCAACGACTGTCTCGAGAAAGGGCCCAACCTACTCGAGCTCATCCCCTCCCTCATTTTGCGCTTCCGGGAAAAGAAGATTGGAGTCATGGCCGACATCCGGAAGGCTTTTCAGATGCTCGAGGTGGATCCAGTGGACAGAAATTATTTGAGATTTCTGTGGTGGGAGGATGACGAGAAGAGGACAGAAATCAAGCTCTTCCGTCATTGTAGAGTTGTCTTCGGAGTCAATAGTAGTCCATTTCTCTTGGGTGCTGTCATCGGGACACATCTCAAGACCACCGTTCCAGAGTATCAAGAAGTAGCGAAGAAAGTGGCGAAATCTCTCTACGTGGACAATCTCGTCACGTCAGTGGACACGGTGGGAGAATTAGAAGAATTGAGGAGCAAGTCAGTCCAACTTCTCGCAGCAGCGAAGATGGAGCTCCGCCAGTGGGAGTGTAGTGAGTGCCAAACTGGACCTGGCAGCGACTACATCTCTCACTCGGTAACGAGCGTCCTGGGGATGAAGTGGGACAAGAAGGAGGACTATTTGTTTGTGAGTATTCCGAAGAATGAGCTCCCAGCAGTGATCACAAGAAGGACACTCTTGTCGCACACACAGAGTGTTTTCGACCCGATGGGATATTTGAGCCCTGCCACAATCATCCCGAAGATATTGTTACAAGAATCGTGGAAAGCTAGCAAATCTTGGGATGAACATTTGGATGAGAAGATTGAGAAAGAGTTTAGAGAGTGGTGGGGGCAGATCGGATCAATGGAGAAAGTGCATATCCCACGGTACATTGGTAATTGTGCTCAAGCTACCTACCAACTCCACGGATTTTCGGATGCGAGTAAATGTGCATACTCCACGGCAGTAACATCAGAGTGGACGACGGTGGGAGCATAAGGTGTCATTTATTACAAGGAAAGTCAAGAGTAACTCCAATTCGACCAACCACCACAATTCCAAGACTGGAGTTAATGGGATGCGTCATCTTAGCAAGATTGATGTCGACAGTCGTGGTGGCGATGTCATTACAGTCCGTAGAGAAGTATTTTTGGAGTGATTCAACCACTGCCCTGGCATGGGTGAAACGGAACAAGGAGTGGGGGACCTTTGTGGGAAATCGTGTAAAAGAAATCTGCAAATTGTCATCCCCAAACGAGTGGTCACACATAGCCGGCCCACTCAACCCAGCGGACCTTCCATCGAGGGGTTGTTCCCCAACCAAATTAGTAGACAGTCGATGGTGGGAGGGACCCGAGTGGTTGTCAAGACCTCAAGAAGAATGGCCGGTCAGTGAGGAAGTTGCAAGCGACGAGGCGGTAGAAAAGGAGAAGAAGATTGGCGTCTCACTTGTGTCAGTGGAGGCAACAATTCCATGGTACGCAAGGAGATACTCACTCGCCTCCCGTAACATACGGCTAGTGGCCTGGATCCTACGATTTGTGTCAAGATGCAAACGAGCTACAAAAGAGGCGGGTAATCTCTCACAAAAAGAATTATGGAAAGCAGAGAAAGTTGTGATGAGTATGATCCAGTCAGAAGTATTTAGTAAAGAAGAGTGGAAGAATAAAGCTCAACTCAAAATCAAGAGATCCGAGGATGGACTACTGGTCGTCGAGACAAAGTTAGTAAATAGTGAAGAAATGAGTTTGTACAAATTCCCAATACTGCTCCCCCATTCGCACGAGTTTGTGGCTCAGCTAATTAGAGAAGAACACTTACGCCACGCACACGGAGGGATTCAGTTTCTCATGGGAAAATTGAGAGAGAAATATTGGATCATTCAGTCTCGTCGGGCCATCAGGAAGATTGTGAATAGATGCGTGAAGTGCAGGAGGTTTGCTGCAAAAAGTCAAGACGTTGAGTCAGCACCACTTCCGAGGAATCGTATTCTGGACGCCGTCGACCACATTATTATTTTCCCGGGGCGTCATAATCTCGCTGAAATGTATATTTTCACAGATCTCGTACTTACTTCACTCTTGCTAACTTGCGCCATAGTTAAGTAGTTACCATAACATTGGCGCAAGTCGCAATTAACCAAATTAAGCACCTAATTCAATTTGCATATCGATGTACATTTCTCCGCAGATTTTACGTTAAGCTAATTTGATTTGCATATCGATATACACACTCAAAATAAGGTAGTAATGAATCATTACCATACGGATTCACTATGTGTCTCTACTACGTCGGTTACGATTTGTCGTAGAAATGGTAATATTAATTTCAGGGAAATTAAAATTCATTACCAAATATTAAGGAAGTGAATACCATTATGTATTAAATTTGAATTTCCCTGAACTTATTATTACCATTTCTACGACACATCGTAACCGACGTAGTAGAGACACATAGTGATTCCGCATGGTAATGATTCATTACTACCTTATTTTGAGTGCACATTTCTCCGCAGATTTTAAGTATGTTCGGAAACATTCCTATTAAATTTCGAAACTTTTTCGATCTTAATTTTACTCACCTTTCGCTTGCCGTTTCCCCCATGGATTTCCCCACCTCCGTTGAAGCTCCAGTCCACCGTGGGTTTCGGCACCCCCACCGCGACGCAATCCAGTCCCAGATCTTTCTTCCATGGAATTTCCACCGTTCCAGAAAAAGTCGCTATTTTCGCGGAAACTGAAAAACAATTAGGAAATCTTGGGGATAATAAATATTACAAAATTCTTGAGATATTAAATTCTGCCCGAGTTATGATCAGGGCTGCATTTCACGCATACCTGTTCACTTTCATTCATTTGAGTGATTGTGATGGTGAGTAATGGTGATTGAAAATGAATTTCCTGTCATTTGAATGAAAATGATTGAAGTCTTCCGTCATTTCAGATGAATGACTGTGAATGAAAGATTTCTCACTTATTTTATTTTTCACCGTATGCTTAATACATGGGACGAATTAAGAAATGAAGTCTGATGAAGAGAAATGAAATGAATTTGAACGAAAATAACTGAATGTGAATGAAAATCATCAATCAGAAATCGGGATGAGCTACTTTTGAATGAAAATTAAATTTTTGAACAGGGCTGCATTTCACGACCAATTTCTCATCTGGTTATGAAAACAATTACAACGTGGAGACTGTGCCTTTCGTGGATTTAATGGAAGTAATAAAGTTGGTCCAGAAAGAGTAATTAGTTCCGAAGAGGAGTAATTATTACGGGTAAAATGAGCTCAAAATTTGATTACTTTCTCCGTCTCTGAGGGGCTCTGTGCATACACTGTTAAAAATCTGGTAGAGTCAGATAAATACTCCGTACTGGTATAAATTTGGTAACAACTTCCTACCAGATTGGTAGCAGATTTGTTTCTGAGGGAGAATTAAGCTACGAATTTGTTGTTTTTCAGAGATTAATACATAGAAATTTTTGTGAAAGTTTGTACATGGATAAAGTACACTAGAGTATACTTTATAAAATTTGCACAGTTTAGCTCGACTCCAAATTTTAGAGTGAATTGAATTGTAATTGTTTTGCAAATATTAATAAGTTGTACGCCATTTTGCATTTTGTGTTTAAATTAGCTAGTTTCATATAAATTCAAGATCGGGCACCATGGACGTCTAATACCAGTAATTTAACTATTCATGTTGAGGGTAAATGTTGAGTAAAGGTTACGCACGAAATTTCGCACATTTCGTAAACTTCGCAAACTTTGTAAACTAACAATGGAGGTCTCCCAACGTATGCTCACAGATTTGGACCAAACTAGTGTCAATCGATCACAAATATAATTAGTATGAAATTTGCAAATGGAACTATCTGCCAATGTGCAGGTTTGGCGGAGATATTTGCACTCAAAGCAGAAAAAATGCGCAGCAAATTTGGAAAATGAAAAATATGCCAGCCTTGGGGGTGCGTTTTCTCCTCTTTTATGCAAATATCTCCGCCAAACCTGCGCATTGGCAGATAGTTCCATTTGCAAATTTCATACTAATTAAATTTGTGATCGATTGACACGAGTTTAGTCCAAATCTGTGAGCATACGTTGGGAGACCTCCGTTGTGAGTAAGTTTACAAAATGTGTCAGCTAATTTTCTTCTAAATATTTATAAAATGAAAACTTTGAAGTTTACGGATTTTACAGATTTTAGGATGTTACCAGCCAAAGAGTGCGTGATTTATTTCAATACCAAAGTAAATTTGGTAAACTTGTACGTCATAGTTTAGTTTTCTTAAAATAATAATTCAATTAAATTTTGTTTAGGTGAGTTCTAGGACAATGTAAGATGATTTGTAACCTGATTTTGCTTCACAAATATTAAGGAAATAGAAACTAAACTTAATCAAATTTAGATAATAATTGGAGTTTAACCCATTTTATATTTTTATAAAAACTTTTTACAACGTTAAAAAGATGTGCGTAATCTATTTCCCTCAGGGTTAGGAAAAACCCGGGGGTTTACCTCGAAAACCACTACCCTGGGGTTTTACTGGGTTTTACTGGGTTTTGGGGTTTTACTGGGTTTTGGGGTTTTGCTGGGTTTTGGGGTTTTACTGGGTTTTACTCAATGTTTGGGGAAAAAAAAAATTTGGAAAATTTATTCTTTAACGTCATTGGATATCAGATTTGTAAATCTGGTTTGCAAACCATGACGGTTCCTCTTCACCATATAACTCTGATGGCGGTGAGTCGGATCTTCTCACAGAGAACGGACTCTGTGAGGGCTCCCTTTTACAGCATTGCCAGACCGTCTGGCCGGGCTCACCCAACCATGAGAGGAGCACCCACCCCGTACTAACACCGAGCCGAGTAGGATTAGCAAATAACTGCCCAGCGAGTGAGGAATCGAACGTGTGACTGCGTGGTGACAGTTCCACCCCCGAACCACCAAGCCAAGCAGCTACTGCTAAAACTACTGGGGTAAACTGTTAAAGATTACAATGCTACACTAATTTGTTAAATTAATATATTTTTTCAAGATTTACCATAAAACTTCATTGTAAAATGCCAGGAACACCCCGAAAAACACTTATATGACCAAACTCTAAGTTAAGCTGTAAATTACTTAGTAGAGTACTTAATTCGAGTTAGATATGTACTTGCAAATTGATTCTATTCATTTATCTATTTGAATTTTAGATAAAACCTAGTAAAACCCGAGTAAAACCCGAGTAAACCCCCATTAACATAGTAAAACCCGCTGGATTTTACTGATTTGCGACCCAGTCAAACCCAGTAAAACCCCAAAACCCCAACCCAGTAAAACCCGGGGTCGGAATACCCTGGTTTCCTTATTTCTTTGTGGCATAACAGTCTTACCATAAATGTTGAGTCTTGCGGTGTGGAGGGCGACGCCCATGGCGTTTCTGGCCTGGCAGGCATACAGCCCGCCGTCCTCGTCCCGGGCCTGCGTTATGTTCACGTGGGAGATCACATTGTCATGAATCGTGACGTACTGGCCGACCAGAAATCTGAAAAAATGGGCGGAAAATTAACCATAATTTTCCAAAATTGATGAAAATCTAGAAATATTGAGTGAAAAGTAGATCTCTAACAAGTCAGATCAAGAGGAAGAATTCCTCAGAATTACCCGTAAAACGATTGAGCCCATAAAGTTGATTCTTTTAACAAATTTTGAACGTTAGAAATTTTATGAAAAGCTATGAAATTACGAAACACCATGAATTGCAACTTTGCAACCAAATAACATACTTATCTACAGAATTGCAACTTTGCAACCAAATAACATACTTATCTACAGAATTGCAACTTTGCAACCAAATAACATACTTATCTACAGAATTGCAACTTTGCAACCAAATAACATACTTATCTACAGAATTGCAACTTTGCAACCAAATAACATACTTATCTACAGAATTGCAACTTTGCAACCAAATAACATACTTATCTACAGATGGTTTAACAAAATAAGTTACGTTTTCAAAAGTCAAATATGTCGTTAAATTCATACATTATTTTCCTTTCATTAAACAAAAATGAAAAACAATATCAAAAACGACACTAATAACACCACTGACTTGCTGTTGGAATGATTGACGACCATAAAAGCTTATAATGAATGTAAAATAAATTTCAAAAAATGTACGCATACTAGCGAAATATTGGAGTAATTCATTCGTAACATTATAAAATCCGTAAATTGTATAAAATAATTTTACCAACTCTAAGCTAATATAAATATTTATACAATTTTGTCAAATTTACAGATTTTACAAAGTTACCAAGCACTGCGTGAATTGCCTCAATATGAATTTCATCGAAGTTTTTGCACAAGCAACAAATTTTTGCTTTCTCCACGCACCTTTCACTTTCTGGCAGTGCGAAGCCGTCCAAAGTCCATGTGAATTGCGGGGGTGGATTTCCGACGGCGGTGCATTTCAGCGACACAGAGGGACCCGGCTGGATCGTTTGTTCTGAAAAGCGATACACCAGCTCGGGCGGGACGGCTGAAAATAAAGTGAAAATAAAATTTTTTATTAAAATTATAAATAAAAATTGCAGAGTTTCATATTACAAAAAAAACAGATTCTACGGTTTAAAAAAAATAGAGGCAACAAAATCTGAGAGGTTATCTGGCAGAGTTGGTTTAAAAAAGCTCTGAAAAATTTTAGAACCTTTCTCTATATTTTTTGGGTGAACAGTAACCAGTAATTTTGAGAAATTTGAAGGAATATAGATAAATTCACGCAGGAATTTCATGTGTAATTCTGAGAGCTTTGTAAACTTCCGATAAAATTTTAAAAATTTAAAATAAAAAAAATTGTAAAATAAATTAAAATTAAACTTAATAGTCGATCGCCGTGGACTTGTTGTCTGACGCTCGTACGACACCATTAATAAAAACTTTAATCAATCAATCAATCAATCAATCAACAATGCGCTAGTTTACGCAATTTACTGAATTAGATGTGAATCGTTTGAAAATTTCTAATGCACGAAATTAAAATTTTAAAAACTTTCTAGCTTCAACGTACATCAGATTAATTACCAGAAACATAAAGAAAATTGTTTAAGTCAAAAATTGAA